TGGGGCACTCAGAACGTGATCCGGCATAGACACACCTTTCACATTGTTCGTTCCATCGGTTTTTGCATGACCATCAGTTTTTTCTCTTCGGCTTTAATAGCTGATCAGTGCTCAACACCGTGGATCGTGACCGATGGGACAGACAAATCAAGCAGTTCTTTTTTCGCCCCCATCGGCAGTCTCCTATCGAATAATGATGTTTAAATGCGATAAAAGTTGGTTCATGCCGCCTTCCTTCCTTGACTGATTTTTCCGTCTAGCAAGTTCATGCATAAACCTGACGGCCAGGATACTCAAAGCTGGTGATTTCTTGCAGACCTTCGCCATTCGCTTCGATAGAAGCTCTGGATTGGTGCTGGTTTCATTCATTTTGGAGAGGTTAACTGGTTGTGAGAGATTCTTCTTGGAACTTTTCGATCCACTGTTGGAGCTTCATTGTATCGTGTGTGTGTGTGTGTGTGTGTGCGTGTGTGTGTGTGTGTGTGTAGTCGATGCAGTAGCGCAAAATAACAAGTGTGTTGGTCATATTCCATCAATATTGATAGCCACTGCACTTTAATCAGGTGAAGCGTGATTCCAAGACTCGGGTAGAGCGCTGGTGGGAGAGCATCTTTTTGGCACACCTCTTGAGGGATGCTGAATCGAAACGATTTACTGAACGGCTTCATGTCTGATATGCAAGCCTGATGTTCAATTACTCGATCAGGCTTAATATGAGGCAAACAGGATTTATGCCATTTTCATGCAAGGCGTTTAGCGCATTCGCCAGTTCTGCCTAATCGAACGCCTTCTTATAATCGATCAAAGCAAAAGAGAGTGGCACTTCATATTCTTTCCACATTTCCGTCAGGTGTTGAATCGCATATGTACGGTCGATGGTAAAAAATCCTACATGAAATCTGGCCTGTTACAGACTTGAGACTTGTTCGAGGTCTTGCTGAATACGTTTGAGAGTGGTGTGAGTGAATAATTTAAAAATTTGTAGCACGAGTGTAATTGGACGAGAGTCCTTGAGATCTTCGCAGTCACCTTTTCTCATAAGAAGAACGTTCCTTGATGTCTTCCACATTTCTGCATCTTGTTTTGTCTGACATATTCTGCAGAACGTTTGCCAAACGCTTCAAACAGGTTTGTTCTTCCGGCTTTAACGTGTTCTGGTTTAATATCTTCATTAACCGGAGATTTGCCATCTTTAATGCTTGATTGCCCACTCAACCTCGTGTCCGAGGTGACTTCGGGAACGCCATATGGGGCAAGGTGTGGCAACTTCAGATTCGATCAAAATTTAGAAGAGTAAAGATTATGATAATCCTATCGTAATTGTAGCGCTTGCTCATCCTTTGCCATTTTTAGCGCATTGGGAGTCCGTCGTTTTAGGCTAATATTGTGTTCACCAGCTGGAGGCTATACTTTCGTTCCGTTGTGATTCCAAACCGGAT